CTGATGATGCTCATGATGATGATGCTGGTGGTGACGGTGATGTTGCTGATGATGATCCTGCTACTGATGACGATTATGATGATGTTGATGTTGATGCTGGTGATGGTGGTGGTGGAGATGATGGTGATGTTGGTGGTGATGCTGATGTTGGTGATGCGGTTGTGGTTTCGTTTGGTAAGGATGATGATGATGATGATGATGATGATGATGATGATGATGATGATGATGATGATGATGATGATGATGATGATGATGATGATGATGATGATGAAGCGCACACGTGGCATACCTCGCTTATTCTTAAGTCGGGCCTGTCCCTCTGCAGGGAGGAATTTTCAAAAATAGTCAAACAATAGTTCCAGGGCGATTTTTTGAGCATTTGTTTTAATCATTTTGGAGTATTTTCTGAGTATTGTTTATTTTTCGTCGAAAATCCCCCTGTAGGGGGACACGCCCGACCTGAGCTTACTGCTTGTCTGTCAGTGGCACCTGGGCGCAAACTGAATGCCGAGTTGCACTTGGTACCAGCCGGCGTGCGTCGACAATTTGGGGCTCTCGGCGCCGCCCTGGGTGCATCACGATGCAGCGTCAGCGCGCCAGCGAGTGGGAAATTCGGAAGGATCGGGGGTGGACAGACCTCCACCTCCTCCTCCTCCGCCTCCTCCTTCCTCCTCCTCCTCCTCCATCCTCCTCCCCCTCCTCTTCCTCCTCCTCCATCCTCCTCCCCCTCCTCCTCCTCCTCCTCCTCCTCCTCCTCCTCCTCCCTCCCTCCCTCCTCCCCCTCCTCCTCCTCCTCCTCCTCCTCTCCTCCTCCTCCTCCTCCTCCTCCTCCTCCTCCTCCTACTCCTCCTGGAGTGCGCAGGCAATCTGCCACGCGCAGAGGGGGGGGCTTCTTAGAAGCACCCCTGCTTCTCAGAAGGCGCGGGCCTTCCCTATAGATTCGGAGGTTGGTTGACCTCCTACCTTGACACGTCGATTGACAGGTCCGTCGGTTTCGGTCCCAAGCCGTTTTCATTAGAGGGAGCTTTACTAAAGGGAGGTTTGTTCACCGCCGAAAGGAGGAGGCACAATGAGGAGTTCCGACGAGGGTGATATGGAACAGGACAACAGAACGGACCAGAACACGCCATACGCCAGTGGGCGCGTGGGCAAAAGCATGCGTCTAACAGTGCTCGACGCGGGATCGAGGAAGATGCCGCGAGCAGCCGGATTAATTACAAGAGGGGACAGAGGAGACAGGAGGAGGAATAAGAGGAGGAGGAAGGGGAAGGGAGCAAGAGATTGCCATGAATGGTGAGGCGTGCGTTTCCTGCCCGGGCGATTGGGCGCCAAAAAGGAAGCGATGCCACAAATGGTCGTTTGCCCCTTCAGGGCGTGAACTTGCGTCTGCCTCAGCTCTCCACTGTGTCGGGTGATATGGAGGATGTGAAAATTTCGGAGCGGGTACACGCTGGTCGTTGAAAGTAGGTATGTTTGGATTCCCAGATCCCAGATTCAGGCCAGAAGGAGACCACAGTGACGACAGGTACAATGTTCAGATGAGCCGTTCGGACTGGTGACATGAATCAGGAGGGAACAAAAACACACAGACACAATGAATCGTCGACTCCCCAGAAAATGTGGGAATCTATGGGAAGTGGGGGAGAAGACAAAACCCCGAAAATATTGGAAAATACGGGGACTCCTGTTACTTGTGTGTATTTATTTGTGTGTCCCAGGGCCCCTTCAATGACGTGGGGACCCCATGACCAGGGGCTCCCGCTTGAGATTTCCCCACGATCCACTCACGGACGAGGCTCCCGCTGGGGCTAAAGGGAGGCCCTCCTGGTTCGGGCCCAGGGAGCGCAAATGGGACGACACGTGGCATCGCTCGGACGTGTGCACTCTTCCTTCGGCGAGGGCCATCGAGGAGCATCCTTGATCATTTGGCGAACAAAGCCACGCACGAAGCCGAACAAAACGCACAGGGAATGGACGTCCGAGCGATGGCGCGGACAGCTGCTCGTTTCAGATGACACGCTCGGATGGGTAGCATGCCGCGTGGGCCCCATAGGGAGGGGACCCCTCGCTCGAGGCCTCCTCGCGATCCACTCACATACGAGGCTCTCGCTCGAGACGTCCTTTCGGGCTCGAGGAGCGCAAAAGTGACAACAGTGACAGGTTTCAGACGACCCGCTGGGACTGGCAACACGAAGCAGGGGCCCCACAGGAAGGGGGCTTCCGGTTGAGACCTCTCTCCACTCACAGACGAGGCTCCCGCTCGAGGCTTTCCATCGCTTTCAGCCCGAAGGGCGCAACAGTGACGACAGGTACAGGTTTCAGATGCCCCGCTCGGATTGACAACATGAAGTGGCGGCCCCACATGGAGGGGCTCTCGCTGGAGATTTCCTTGCACTTCACCAACAGACGAGGCTCCGCTCGAGATGTCCTCCATGCTCAGGCCATTGGAGCGCAAATGTGAAAACGTGTACAGGTTTCAGCTGACCTGCTCGGATTGATACCATGAAGTGGGGACCCGATAGAGACAGGGCTCCCGCCGCAAATTTCCCTGGCGACTCAGTCACAGACGAAGCACCCACTCGAGAGGTCGCCAAGACGAACGTGTGAGTGTGTGACTGCGTAATGTGACTGATGATGACGATGCTGATGGTAGTTATCATGTCTATGATGCTGTTGGTGGTGATGACGAAGAAAAGATGACGGTGATGATTATGAGGATGCTGATGCTGATCATGATGATGTTGATGATGAGGAGGATGCTGGTGTTGATGATGATGATGATGCTGATGATGCTGATGACGATGATGGTGGTGATGATGATGAAGCTGATGCTGCTGATGATGATGGTGGTGGCGGTGATCATGATGATGACGATGTCAACGAGGAGGGGAGGAGGGGGGAGATGATGCTGCTGCTGCTGACGATGACGATGACGATGACGATGATGATGATGATGATGATGATGATGATGATGATGATGATGATGATGATGATGGTGATGGTGACGATGATGATGATGCTGATGATGATGAGGGTGAACCTGATGACGCTGATGATGATGATGATGCTATTGATGGCGACGATGATGATGATGATGATGATGATGATGATGATGATGATGCTGATGGTGATGCGGACGCTGACGCTGATGATGATTGTGACGGTGATGGTGACGATTGTGAAAATACTGATGCAGATGATGATGAGCATGGTGATGGTGATGATGATGGTCATGCTGATAATCATGATGATGCTTATGATGATGTTGCTGATGATGAAGAAGAATACATTGATGATGATGATGATGGTCATGATGCTGATCCTGATGATGATGATGATGATGCCAGTGATGCTGAGTATGCTAATGATTATGATGTGGATGCTGATACTGATGATGATGATGATGATGATGATGATGATGATGATGATGCTGATGCTGATGATGATGATGATGATGCTGATGATGATGATGATGATGATGATGGTGGTGGTGGTGATGGTGATGCTGGTTATGCTGATGATGCTGATGTTGATTATTCCCTACTTAGGCTCTTTCTAGATGGGTTCTTACCCTCTGTGCTTAAAGGGCCGGGCAGTGGATATCGCCCCGGGCGGTTCCCCCAGCATCCGCCCCGCGGTTCGCCCAGTTTCGCCCCCTTAGCTTAGCTTTGCTTATCTCATCTTAGCTTAGCCTAGCTTAGCTTAGCTTAGCCTAGCCTAGCCTAACTTAGCTTAGCTTAGCTTAGCCTAGCTCAGTTTAGCTTAGCTTTGCTCAGTTCAGCTTAACGCAGCGCAGCGCAGCATTAGCATAGCATAGCATAGCATAGCATACCATAGCATAACATATCGCAGCATAGCATAGCGCAGCATAGCATAGCACAGCATAGCATAGCATATCGCAGCATAGCATAGAATAGCATAGCATAGCATAGCATAGCTTAGCTTAGCATAGCACGGCGCAGCATAGCATATCATAGCATAGCATAGCATAGCAAACATCAACAGCAAAATCAAAAACAATAGCAACGCAAAAGCAACAGCAAAAGCAAACGCAAAAGCAAAGGCAAGGCAATGCAAAGCAAACACAAAACCAATGCGACAGTGTATATGTAGCTGTAGATGTAGGTGTAGGTGTAGCTGTGGATGTAGGTGTAGATGTAGATGTAGGTGTAGATGTAGGTGTAGATGTATATGTGAGTTTCGCTGTTGATGTTGATGTAGATGTAGATGCAGGTGTAGATGTTAATGTAGCCTTCGGTGTAGATGTGGATGTTGCTTTCGTAGATGCTCCAACTCCTGGTAGGGTCGCACTGGGATAATGTTGATTTTTCTGTTGATGATGAAGAAGATGTTGACAGTGATGGTGATGGTGTTTCTGATGATGATGATGATGATGATGATGATGATGATGATGTTGCTGATGATGATGATGCTGATGATGACTGTGTTGATGATGCTGATGATGGTTATGAAGGTGGTGATAATGACAATGATGCTGATACTGATCAGAGGCGAGGAGGGTGAGGAGGTCTGCGCTGGGTGTCCATAGTAAACAAGAATCCCACATAGCATGTGGGGGCCACACACTCGGAAGGCTTACATATTGTTTTCGAGCGCCTTCAGAGGCGACCCTGCCTGCTCCGCAACTGTCGCCGTCGTCGTGCGTTGTTGGGAAATCCAGCGGAGTGGAGCGCTACTCAGCCTCAGGCGAGACCTCGCCGATTGCCTCCTGTCTTCTCGAGCGCTCACCCTGGATGCTGCCAAATGTGCAGTAGTCGACACGTTCGTGGGCTCCTGCGTGGTCCTGCGGAGGGCAGTGCCCTTCAAAACCAGATGAGGCCTCGCTGCAACCTGGAGCTGCCGGCTTAGGAGCGGTCGCCAATCCTCGTCCGCTGCTGAGAGGTCCAGCAGAGCGGAGTGCCGCGCAGATGCACACGAGACTTCGAGGCTCCTTGGGGGGCTGTCAACTGCGCTAATGTCGCCTCGTGCGCTCCTGGAGGTCCAGCGGAGCGGAGTGCCGCGCAGATGCAGACTAGACCTCGAGGCTCCCTTTGGGGCCGCCAGCTGCGCCACCGTCGCCACTTTCGTACTCTGCTGGGAGGTCCAGCGGAGCGGAGGGACGCCGCAGCCATTTTGGCTCCAGCTATTTCGAACTCCATCCCGTCCTCTGCGCCGCCCAGGCAGGGCCCCATCGCCTCGGCTTCTTCCTCCCAGTCGCCAGCATGGCCCTCTTCCTCGCCGCCGCCGTCCTTCTGGCCGCCCCCGCGGCCGTCGCCGCGCAGGCCGCCCCCGACCGCCGCCTGCGCGGGGCCACCGGCGCCGAAGCGGCCGGCGACGGCCAGGCCGCCGCCCTGGCCAGCGACCCGCTGTCGCAGCTCGCCGGGCTCTTCTCGGCCCTGGACAGGGACGGCGACGGCGCCCTGTCGCCGCTAGAGGTCGCGGCGGGCGCCGGGGCCGCGCAGGGGCTCGCCGCGGACCTCTTCGGCGCGGCGGACGCGGACGGCAGCGGCGCCGTCGGCCTGGAGGAGCTTGGCGCCCTGGCGGAGGCGCTGCAGCGGCGGCGGGCCCGTGCGGGGGCGGGGCGCGGCTGGGAGGGCGCGCTGCTGAAGCGCGCGGCGGCGCCGCGTGCCGTTGCCGAGGAGGCGCCGGCCCAGGCGGCGGAGGGGGCGCTGGAGGAGGTGCTGAACGGGAAGGACCTGTGGACCCCCCACAACGGGTGCGAGATGTACACGCTGCGCACCTGCGGGGCTCCCCTGTTCCCTGGGTGGCACGAGCGCCGATGCCCGGACCCAGTGTCCACCTGCAACGACGACGGGGACTGCGTGTGCCCCGACGGGTACTGCTCCTCGACCCGCATGGGCTTCTGCGACAGGTGCGACGACTGGAGCAGCGGCGCTGACGTCGGCAACTCGAGCTGCATCCACACCGGCGCTGATATGGTGCCCTACCCGCACGAGATGGTCCGCTAAGGAGTGGTTTGACCCGCATGTTCGCAGTCCTGCTTCGCGTGATGCGACGCCTGACGCGTGCTCGTCGCCATGTGCGAGGCGCTGCCCCCGACTTCACCTCGCAGTCGTGTCTCGCGTGCAGCGACGACTGACTGCATGCTCGGCCGCCATGCGATCGAGGCGCAAGGGGCTGCCCGCACCGAATTCACTGGCGCCTCTTAGTACGGACGCTTGATAATCAGAGCGACGTCTTGTTTCGGCTGACGCCTACCAACATTGGCTTGCTGCTGCCAGCCGCGTGCCCGCTCGCGCCTGGCCTGCGCCGAGCTCGCCACAGGAGGCCCCGAGGCCCCGTGGGAGCCACGGCTGCCGTGCGACCGACTCGGCGGGGGGCGCCGCGCCGCCGATGCCACGAGTGCGGCCCAACCGCGGCCAGGGCGGCGTGGCGCCTCTGGCGGAAGATCCCGCCTCAAGGCGGCCAGGCCTTTGCGACGCCGATCTCCCCGATGGGGTCCTTGACGCCTGGGGAGCTGGAGCTGTCTTTACTGTCGCGAGTCGGGGGCATGGGCGCCCATCCCCGCAATGCTCGGGGAACGAGGGTTCCGTGGCAGTTCTGTTCCAAAGAATCTGTCATTTTCCGCACGTGCATGGTTCCGACGCCACCGCCCACCTCCCTGTCCCCGTCTGCGCCCTCCCTCTCCCCCGTCCCGCGCCCGCGTCAGGCTCGAGTGCCGCAGAGGTCGTAACGACGCGTTGCTGCCTCGACCCGTCGCGGGATCGGTTATCGGTTGGCCGTCCTCTTGCGCGACGGGCGCTGTGGGTCGGAGTAACAAATCTCTGATGGCGCAACGTCTGATCAGCGCAAGCAGGAGCAATTTTCGGCAATGCGGCCATAGAGTCTCGCGAGGAGCGTGAAGCTCCTACTCGCTTGCCTGCCTGTCTCGAGGAGCAAAACCCAGCAGAGCGGAGTGCCGCGCAGATGCAGACGAGACTTCGAGGCGCCCGCCACCGTCGCCACTTTCGTGCGCTGCTGGGAGGTCCAGCAGAGCGGAGTGCCGCGCAGATGCAGACGAGGCTTCGAGGCTCCTTGCGCGGCCCCCGAACGTCGAGCACCAAAGGTCACTCTTGCCTAGGGTCACTCTTGCGTGTAGCCGATATCAGAAAGCCGCGATCGCTCAGCGGTCCGCGCAGTGCCAGGAACCAGTGCCGACTTCGACGCGACAGGGATCCTGACCGTGCACGGTGCCGTGATGTGTCTGCGTACAATTGCGATGCGCAGCCGGCATGGGTGATGTTGCTCGTGAAGCAGATGCGGCAATAGAAGCACACGAAGCACATACTGGGCGCGTACCTCGAGCATGGCAATAACAAGTGTGGTTAGTGTTTCGTAGCAAGCACAGTTGTTCAATCGGCGACCTAGCATAGACACGGCGGGCGATTCGACCACGTTCGAAATGGTACTAGCAACAGGTGCAGCATTTACGGCCAGACGATCAAAAAACATGATAGACTGTATCCAGGGCCACATGGGTGTTGCAGGTGCACATTAGATGGTTCGTACTGTTTTCGCCTTTCTCTTCTTCTGTGGTAGGGCTTCGGATCGACTGGCCATTGGGTAGCGAGCGAACGAGCGAAGAGGAGGGTCAGCAGGAGCAAGACGGCGGGTGGAGTGGTCGGCGACAGACTCGCGCCTCCCCAGCTTCGCCTTGGTGAGGTCTACAAGCCTTGCGAGGAGCCGCTCGATGAGGGCAAGCCCACCGGCTGCTCGAACCCCTACGGCTGGACGAAGTACATGATCGAGCAGTTCTTGCTCGACGCCGCGAAGGCGGCGTCCTCGGCACTCCGCGGGTCGGGCCGCGCGCTCGTGGTACGTGTTGTTCAGGAGGGAAAGAAACACACAGACACAATTAATCGGCGATCCCCCAGAAAATATTGGAAAATATGGGAAGTGGGGGGGAAGACAGAAACCCAGAAAATATGGGAAAATATGGGGGATATTTTCATTTGTGTGTATTTATTTGTGTGTTCCAGTTCCCCTTCAGTGTTGTGTCAACCAGTATCGTTTAACCAATCCCCATCCCGATCCCCATCCCCTTCGAGACCACCACCAAATTGCCACCCCCGAAACCCGACGGGAACGACTTACATATCCCCATCCAGAGGGGTAAGTCGGCCAGTGGGGCCCAGGCCACGCCGCTGGGGATGGGGATCGATAAAACGATACTCATCGGCGCCTGCCCTTCAGGAAATACCGGCAAATGCCAAAGAGCACATGACCAAACACTCGTTGAACCATAAGGGGTCGCAGCGGCTCTAGGTCCGCACTTGTTGCGCAGCGTGTTGCGCAGTTTGCAATCATGTTGTTTTGTACCGTCCGCGAGACAACAGAGCGTGTGTTTTCTCTCTTCAATGGTCTTGGGCGGGCTTGGCAAGGGTTGAAGGCTGTCGTCTTTGCCGGCCTCGTCGCTTGCTCGGTCGATCGCTCGCATGCGCCTCTCGTCGAGGCGGTGTTCAGCCACGCGCAGAAGGGGGGGCAGGGGGAGGGGGAAGGCTTCTCAGAAGCACCCCTGCTTCTTAGAAGGCGCGGGCCTTGCCTGCAGATGTGCGGGCCGCGCCTTCCTAAGCAGCAGCCGCCTTCTAAGAAGCCTTCCCCCCTCCCCCGACCCCCCTCCGCGCGCCGCCAAGGTGTGGGGAGGGGGAGGGGGCAGGTGGAGGAGGGCGGGTAGCGCCCGCCGCCTCTCCTCCCCTCCCCCCTCTCGGCAGGGACGTTTTGTTGCGGAAGCCGGGCTCCGAAGGTAGATTCCACGTTCCAGGTTCCTCCCGCCCCCTCCTCTTCCCTCCCCCTCCTCTTCCCTCCCTCCCTCCTCCCTCGAGGGAACACAGAAGCGAGGTCCGAGGCACCCGTCCCCAGAGTGGTGCCTGGGAGGACACAGAGCGCGGCGGGGGGCGGTGCCTGAAGCACCACCGTGGCCGATCACACAGACGCCGTTTCTTCCTTCATTCGGAGCGTGAATTACCTACCCCGCTTTCGCTTCCAGGCAAAACCAAGTCATACCACGCGCCTCCTCGTCAAGCGGC